CTTGCTCAGATCTTATGAACTTGCACAAAGCAAAATTGATCTACGGAGAATCTAACAATGATAGACGCCACTATATTGAAGCATTCTTAATTGTTTCTTCCAACACGATAAAACAGAGGGCTGGCAAATACATCATTTCAACTACCTTTGCATATATGATAGTACACGCTAATTCTCAGATGCCACATGACACGGCAATTACATTAACTGACGCCTTCACCTGATCTTCACCAACGACCTGCCTTCTCCACTATATATAATGTGTTCTCTCATTCTCCTGTATCATTTAGAATGACAAGTCCCAGGGCCGAAAGGTATCCAGTAGGAAAATCAAATAAGTATGCACTCATGTCCTTTCATCCATGTTATCGTTATTATAATTTTTACTTTCATAAGCTATAAAACCAAACAGGAATAAGCTATAATACCCAATTGGAATCAGGTGTGAACAAAACTGAAACAAGCTCTTCAACCAAAGTGGAATAAGACAAAAACTAAACAGGAATGAGGTATGAAACCTGAGAGGAAGTGTATGAAACGAAGCAGAAACAAAGTGTAAAATAAAACAGGAAAACGTTACAAAGGTAAACAGAAATTAATAACCAAATGGAAGAATGCTATACAACCGAACTGGGATAAGGTATAAAACCAAAGTAAATTGATTTATAATTCCAAACGGATTAAGATATAAAACCGAACAGGAATCAATTTTAAAACTAGAATTAGGCATAAATTACAAGTGGGATTTTAAAACAAAGTAACTAACAGGAATATAATACAAGCCAAGAACTCAGTCCAAGCACACAAAGCTACTTTGGACCTCTATTACCATAAAGGCTATTTTCAAACAAATGGCTCTGCTCCGTCCAAAATTTTTGCTTCTTGTTATATCACACAAACAGGAGACACCGTCCCGTAGAAACGAAGCGTTTTTATTCCTTGCCCGTCTCTGTTCTAATACTATCAATAATATAAAATGGAGTGTGGGTATAAAGTCCAATACGCGGTACATGAATAGCTGTTTACCCGTGTTCTCGAGTAATGACTACACTGGCTAAGAAAACTCACTCTTCAGCTGTTAAATGTCCACAAACTCTCCCCTCAGCTGCGATAATTACATTTGCCAAGCGCCAGGGAGCCAGACCAGGGGAGATTATTATTATTACAAGTGCGTGACAGCTGGCGGCAGCGGTGGAGGAAGATATCAACAAGGGAAACAGCTTAGTCTCCTCTCCCTCCCTCTTTACCCCTCTATCTCCCGCTCGTCTACGTTTAAATTCTTCAGACAAACTGTTGTTATTAATGCTCTATAGCCGAAACGGCTATTTTCCAACCCTAATGCAAAAAGTTATTTTAATGTTTTATTTACACTCCACTGAGCTCATATTTACAAGTGAACAATAAGAAATCTTATTCACAAATAATTGAAGAGTACACTTTAAACTCTTTGGCTAGTCCAGGACCAAAACCGTGTTAAGCTTCTTCCCCAAAGTGTAAGCTGTTTGTGAATTATTACGGTCATAGTGTGTGACTTATTCCTCAGTCAGGAATCAATAAAGACCGGACAGGAGAGGAACGTGATGCAAGGCTTGAATACCTAGCTATGATGAAGCAAATATGGCTCTGCCTCAGTCTCTTATTAATTTTAAAAATTCCAGCAGGAATTCCCTTAAACGACGTTCCTTGATACTGATGAGGGGCTCTTGATCCAAGGACTTGAACTATCCCTTCGTTCTCTGAACCGAACCTGACTGCCTCCCATTCCCAGGTGCTGCAGACTCAAGAGTTCAATGCTTCCCTCTAGAGAATAATAATAATAATAATAATAATAATAATAATAATAATAATAATAATAATAATAATAATAATACAGCAGGTACTGTAGTGTAATATAAATTTCAGTTAAACTTTCAAGCTTTAAAGCAAATTAAATTATTATCGGCATTGATAAGCATGCGCCAAAATACAATGTATGCACAAAGACTTTTTGCAGTGAACTTGCACTACATTCATATGTTACATAGTAGGCTGGAAGACAGTAACTATTCGGGAGGACCATGATTGTTGATCTTTTCTTCCCGATCCATAAACATGTAAAATGGCAAGTAAATCTTACAAACTTCTAATTACATTAACTATATACTTAACTTTCGCGTGTTTCTGAATATTTTTTATCCCCCCAATACTTCCTTTCCAACGTAGGTCTGGTCTGAGACCGGACGCGGGAGCGATGATTCCAGGAACCTCAGCTATGTACTCATGTACAACCTTGTCGTAGACAATGTATTCGTGATTTCTCTCACGCATTTGTGAAAGGAACCACGTTTATAGAATGTTCTGATATGCCGGGTGATCATCATCCACATAAAAAAGGTATAGACAAATCTAAGACAAAATTCATATAACCAGAAAAATAAGTTTTCATAAAAGGTACTATAACCTACCATGCACCTTTGGGAAGTAGGATTTGCAACTGAATATATCGTAATGTAGTTTCGTTCCCGTCCAGGCCTGAAAATTTAGTATTCATGCTAATCAATTTATTAGTCTCGCCAATTGGACTGAGAACCTACTATATCGGCAGAGGTGAAGCTGTCATATTAAACACCTATTAGTTTAGTATAATTATCTGTAGCCCCACCCAGGTGAGGGAGCATAAACGTGAATATAATAACACTCAGGTTCACTACAAGGGCGAGGTAGTTTCTTTATTTAATAAATTAAGGTACACCAGCAGTGTGCGGCTAGTGTTCTATATGATAATTACAAGGCGATAAAACACTCAATATGCGGGTACCCCGTTTATTCAATACGGTCATATTATGGAAACAAAAACTAGCTGTTTCCCTGTCAAATTCCATCACACTGGCTGGGTTTCATACATAAGGTAATACAATACGTTGATTTTAAAGCTATACAGGTTTCGGTCCAGCAGGGTTAGTTACTTTGACATGGGAATTACCACCCCTGAAGTTCCTCCTGTTTTTAATGTGGGTTTGAATTGCAAGTATTTCTGCTGCGCGGGTCTTTAGCTTATGCTGGCCTGTCAGTGTTTGACGACCTGTTCTAAGCGTCAGTGATACATCGTCCGTTCCACCTCTGTGCCCCAAGCCGCCTGACCGACTCTACTATCCCGCTCACAGGTCTAAGTCCACGCACAACACAGAAATCAGTCATCAGTCACAGAAATTTGACATTAATACTCACTCACTCTCTAGACGTTATCCAAGACCACGATCAACTAACACGCATTACGGATAACAACTAATTAAAAAAAGGATGTACTCAAAAATACTTAACTCTCACGTGTTTGAAACAAGTTATCATCCACTTTAAAACTATTCTTCGAAACATAAGGTTAATACCCTATTACAACCTAACAAAGCGACAGTGATTTATTTTCATTGGGGTTTTCCCCCAGGATGCAACTCTAAATGTCAGCTAACATCTACGTACTCATTCACCGCTAGTTTATCCCCTGACGTAGTCGGGTGGTCATACTCCACGGTTCTGATCAGGGAGGGTTGTGGTTTAATCCCCAGAAGGAGGACAGAGCCTACATTGTTTCACTTAACTACAACTAGGAGTACACGGTCAACAGGTGTAATAAGACTTGCTCATACGTTGATTCCCGCCCGGGTCCTACAAACTAAGAAACATATACATAAAAAAAAGTTTCAGTCTCAGAAAGAGCTTAAATATATGATGATATTGAGTAAACACTTAAAAAAACACGAAGTAAAAGACTGTGCGAGGTGTGGCAAGCAATGGGAGAGCAGGTAGCGGAGGTGACGGAGGCTGGGTGGTGGTGGCGGCGCTGGCTGGGGACTTGAACGAGGCAGCTTCCTTCATCACCCCCCCACCCCACCTACCTTCTCTTAATTGACTTACGACTGGCAGCCTGGTGAAATTTGCTATACAAATTTGTGATAAACTCTAGTCCTGATTGACGGATTTATGTGTTGAGTAAAAACAAAAATATCCGCACGAGATATATGTAATGATAAATATCTTTCCCAAGACCCTCTTCACACTAGTTAAAATAACACAGGTTCTAAGTTTCTTCACTGCTAATATCTAACGAGTATTATTAAATTTATAAAATAATCGCTAAGTCCGTATATTTCAAACTATTAATGAGCCCTATCGTTAAATTGAGTCAAACTGAACATATTCCGCTGCATTAAGTTCATCAGCTACTGGACAATTGTTGTCAGTGATTCATAGTTTCATTAGTCTAAGAAAAATTTTCACTGTATTTTGTTTAAAGTAATTAGTGACATTTCAAATGATTTCGTACTTCTGGATATGCGTTTTTCTAGACATTGATTATAATACTGATCTGTCGAGCACAGAAGCTATCCAGTTCAAAATCTATACTATAAAATATAGAAAATGTGTATGGCAATAAAAGACAAGGGGCAAATACTACGATTTTCAACTATGACTGCTTCCAGTTAAATACTGGCTGCTGCCTTCACTCACCTAAATAATTTATGTTTCATAAGAAAATGTGAACTTTTCTTAAAGAAACAGAAAATCACTAATTGCGCGAGATAAATACAAATATATAAACAAGTGCGTTTCGGAAGACGTAATAATTCAAGCAATACCTTCCCACTCTCTTTCCGATATATAATATATATATATATATATATATATATATATATATATATATATATATATATATATATATATATATATATATATATATATGTGTGTGTGTGTGTGTGTTTGTAATCTCAGTAAGGATCTTCATTATGTAATCAGGTCTGTATAGTCCTTGTGGCTTAGCGCTTCTTTTTGATTATAATAATAATAATAACATTATGTAATCAAACCTCATTACAACGAAAAAGCTACAAAACACCTTATTTCCCACAAACACTGCAAATTATGTACTTACCTGTTTTGTAATATAGTCTTAAACACCCAAAAAATAAAAATACTAGAATACACAATTTTACCCAGAACAGAATAATCGCGGAACTGACCATTACCTTGTTGAAATATTCCATCAACACAACCGTAAAGTACCCAGTTCACACGAAAATATATATATATAAATTCAGGTTCATTTAAGTTTTTTCTTATTTTTTTTTTCTCTGCCACGACACAGAAGTACACAAGTCACTTAAGAGGATCACTGGTCGACACCCCGGGGTCACAGAGACACGAACGAGACGTTACCTCTACGACGTCCGGGCGACTACTGACTCGCCCGCCAGCCAGCGCCCCTCACACACCCATGGGGCAGGGGATGAGGAAGAGGGGGATTGGGGGGTTAAAGGATAGGCAGGAGACCCATGTTGAGGGATAGATGTTAGGTGTGAAGGATCGTGATGCTGCGGCTAGGGATAGTGCACATGTGGGAGGCTCGTGGCTGTCGAGGCAAAAGGGGATCAGCGTGGAGAAGGAGGCTGGGAGGAGTGTAAGGTGTTTGTGAAGATGATCCAGGGTGGGAGGGGGAGAGGGGAACAGGTACAGTGCTCGGAATAGAGTTGTGTTTGCAGGCATTAGTGGTCACCAGCGCAAGTGGTCACCAGCACGAGTGGTCGGCAGTACAAGTGGTCACCAGCACGAGTGGTCGGCAGTACAAGTGATCGCCAGTGGCCCAGTGCGAAAGATTGTCAGTACAGGTGGTCGTCAGTGTAAGCTGTCATCAGCACAAGCATGAGTGGCTGTCAGTGCAAATGGTCGCAAGTGCGAATGATCGCCAGTACAAGTAGTTGTCAGTACAAATGGTCGACAGTGCGATGATCGGCAACATAAGTGGTGGTCAATATAAGTGGTCGCCAGTGAGATGATCGTCTGTAGAAGTGATCGCCAACGCAAGAAGTAACTAGTGCGAGCACCAGTTGCCATATTAGCGTCTTCAAGGCTTCTACAACCTGTTTTCCAATTCATATTAGTTGTTTAACTTACCTACCTAAGTAGGATTCATCGACGAATGATAAGAAAACACATTACATAATCTTATTTTTTTTTTTTTTACAGAAACCTGATAATCGCTGATTTCATGAGTAACTTTTATAAAGTTAATTTCTTTACACGTTATTTATATTAGATTAGGATAGGCAACAACGGATATAGCCCCAATCCAAAAAGGTAACAGCAAGGAATTATAGACCGAGAGCTCTAACGCCCCACATTATAAAAATCACTTAAAGAGTTCTAAGAAGCATTATCGCCAATCACTTTGATTCCCAACAACTGCACAACCCAGGGCAACATAGGTTTATAGCAGGTCGCTCCTGCCTTTCCTAACCACTTGACTATGACGCGGATGCACTGTAAGACAAGTAGAATGCAGTTGTATTATTCACATACTTTGTAAAAACCTTCGACAAGTGTGATCATGGTGTAATAAAGCACAAAAATGCATGCTAAAGGAATAACTGGAAAAGTGGGCAGATGGATCTTACACAGCACTGGTAAACAAGGTTAAGTTGGAGGCTGCCACATTATTATTATAATAAAAAAGAAGCGCTAAACCACAAGGGTTATACAATGGAGGCTGCCACAGTGAAAAACTTTGTTCCACAAAGTACAGTACTCGTTCCCATCTTGTTCCTTATCCTCATATCATAGCACCATGCTTTATTTTGCACGAGTGTCATTAACTGAGGACATGGTTATTACAACCCAGGAACAATAAGGCCTGTTATCCTGGGTGTAAAGGAAAGCAAGGAGCAGAACAAACACAGCTGAATGACTGAATTATATTTTCCTTCACCAAGTGCGATTATAAGTATTTACAAGTATGTACACTATATACAGTTGGAAATATATGTGTACAACATGGTTAATCAAAGGCAAAGACACATCCTGGAGACAGACTGGACAACCGTGTTCAACCAGCAGCTGGGTGAAAATGACAAGGGTGAGAATGCGAGTGGTGTCCACGTCACCTACACAATTGCCAGATCCACAATATGATTGGGTGAACTTAGGTGCTGATTTGACGATGGGGCCCCGAAATCATCAAATCCTTAGTTACCTGGTTCGCTGGATGGGAGGTAGCCTTTTATGAGTGTGTTCACATGCTCCAAATAAAAAGTACATACTCTTTGCATGCAACAATGGTAAATCTCAAAGGGATATTAACCAAGTTTTCTAATGGGTTGTGGGAAACAATATGATGTTCAATGAGGACAAATTTCAGTTACCCCGTTATGGAAAACTTGAGGAAGTATACAGAACGGAGTATACAACAAATTCTAACCACACAATAAAGCGAAAAACTAATATGAAGAACTTGAGAGTGTTAATGTCAGAGGATCTCACCTTTAAGGGTCACAACAGTGTCACTATCATATTTACATGGAAAATGATAGGATGGATAATGAGAACTTTGAAAACAAATGATGCCATGTTAGTGATGATTCTCTTTAAAGTCGTTTGATCTTTCTAAGCTGGAATACTGCTGTGCACTACAGCCTCATTCAAAGCAGGTGAAATTGCAAATCTTGAGAAAGTATGAAAAGCTTTCACTGCGTGTATTAGTTCAAACACCTTAATTACTGGGAAAGTTTGAAATCCCTTGACCTGTATTCCTTGGAATGCAGGTTGGAAAGGTACATCATAATGTACACCTGGAAAATCCTAGACGGACTGGTCCCATACGAAAGCAAAAGTTATAACAGACGGTATAACATACACCCAATGAAAAGCAGGGGTGTCATGAGTACATTAAGAGAAAACACAATAATTGTCCGTGGCCCAAGACTGTTCAAAACCTCCCATTATACATAAAAGGAATAAGCAATGGACCCTTGGCTGCCTTCAAGAGGGAACTGGACAGATACCTAAAGTCAGTACCCGATAGTACGGTCAACAGTAACAACAAAGTTGCTCAGGCTCTGATCCACCCGGAGAGTCTGGTCGAAGGCCGGGCTGCGGGGGTATTACACCACGAAACAATCTGCAGGTAGGCTGATTAGATTTTTATTTCTGTTCTAACATTTTAGGGAGCAGATATTGCAGATGTAACAGCAGAAAATAAGTTAAAATTGCATCTTTGATGCTATGAGCACTTTTATTTTATGTCCGGGAATCCCGAATTGTGTTGCATTTTGATTTATCATTCATCAGTGCATGTTGGACATCCTGAGTATGCTAGATTGCGAAGTAAATTCTCTGGGATGAGCAAGGATATATTTATATTTTGTACCTTTGGGAAGACAACTTTTTTGGTAATCAACCAAAAAACTATTTAACGTAAACTAAGCTAGATTTTGTTTTATATGTACCTGGAGGGCGTTCCGGGGATCAGTGCCCCCGCGGCCCGGTCCATGACCAGGCTTCCCGGTGGATTAGGACCTGATCAACGAGGCTGTTACTGCTTGCCGCACATAGTCCAACGTACGAACCACAGCCCGGCTGATCCGGCACTGACTTTAGGTATCTGTCCAGCTCCTTCTTGAAGGCAGCCAGTGGTCTGTTGGTAATTCCCTTTATGGCTGGTGGGAGGTTGCTGAACAGTCTTGGACCCAGGACACTTATTGTGTTCTCTCATAGTGTACTAGTGGAGCCCCTACTTTTCACTGGGGGTATGTTGCATCGCCTGCCAAGTCTTTTGCTTTCGTAGAGAGTGATTTCTGTGTGCAGATTAGGGACTAATCCTTCCAGGATCTTCCAGGTGTAGATTATGATGTATCTCTCCCGCCTGCGCTTCAGTGAGTACAAGTCAAGTGCTTCCAGGCGTCCCCAGTAGTTAAGGTGTTTAATGGAACTTATATGTGCAGTAAAGGTTCTCTGTACTTTCTCTAGATCTGCAATTTCACCTGCTTTGAATGGAGATGTTGATGTACAGCAATATTCGAGCCTAGAGAGAACAAGTGATTTAAAAAGGATCATCATTGGCTTAGCATCTCTTGTCTTGAAAGTTCTCATTATCCATCGTATCAGTTTCCTCGCAGATGTGATAGTGGGACTATTGTGATCCTTGAAGGTGAGATCTTCAAACATCACCACTCCCAGGTCCTTCACATTACTTTTTCGCTCTATTGATATTTTTCGTTGCCAAACAAAAATTTTTTTCAAGTATGCCCAAATTATAGCTTTCTTCATTGCACAACCCATCTAATATTTTAGAATTGGCATAAAAAAACGAGCAGGTAAATTAAATTTTGAACAAAATCCAAAAAGAAAAAAAGGCCATAAAAACAACGTCTATTACAAAATCCACATTGCAAACTATAAAATAAATATTAACCCTGGATGAAAGCTATACAAAAATATAAATAGATAAAAATACAAGGTGCAGAATAAGCTTATACTGGGACATTTCACTCTATGCAGAGCCTCGTCCAGTTATGTATCGCTGTGCAGAAATTATTGAGTTACAGAGCGTCCTTCTCTTCATAATTATCGGCAACAACCCGTTTCATACATCAAAATGAAACTGGACAATCTATTAAAGAACGTGCTAGATCAGCCAAGTTGTGATGGCCATGAATAACACAAGTAACCCGTATTTTGGAGAAGGAAGGTAATGGCCAATCTTCATTACCTTGCATTTGCTGGAGTTGAATTCAAGCAACCGCTTATATGACTCATCCTGCAATCTGTCCAAACCCATTTGCAGCCTTTCCCCGTCCTCGTCTGCTTTTATTTTTCTCATCATTCTTAAATCATCCGCAAATATCGATACATTTAACTCAATCCCATCTTGAATATCATTTACACAAACCAGAAACGGTACTGGCCCTAGTACAGATCCTTGAGGCACCCCGCTTGTTATACTTCTCCATTCTGACGTACCTTTCTGGACAGTCACTCTTTACCACCTTCCTCTGAGGCAGGTTTTGATCCACTGCAGTACAATTCCCGCTATTTCTGTCCGCACCTCAAGTGTGGAAAATAATTTCCCAATATTATGCTGTGTAAATAAACCTGATTAAAAGTGCATTTTTAAAAGAAGAGAATGGAGCCGACAGGGAGGCTCTGCGCCTGCGCAAGAGACACTCGCAATTGTTTGTTTTGAATTGAGAGTAACAGACGTTAATTAATAATGTGAAGAATTTTCGTGCTCTAGAGGTAAAATTGGGTTGACACCTTTCAAATAGGAGGCGAAATTGTTGGATGTGCATTACTGCATAACTTGAGATATCAGGCGACTGGACAAGATAGCTCCAGGAACCTCAGATAAGTCTGTTATGTTTAACTCGGGCCAGTGTTATGATACACCTTAATCTCCAGTCAAATTGGTGAGTGATATTAAGATATTCTCCTTCTGTTATGTATATGTGTATATATATATATATATATATATAAAATATATATATATATATATTATATATATATATATATATATATAATATATATTTTTATATATATTATTATAATCCTTTATTAATTTAATATACAGTCCACAAATTTATATATTTACCAGAATTCCTGGTGATGTATCTTTCAATTGTAATTAATAGGTCTAGAGCAACTTGTGGATATGACAGTGGTAGGTATCGAAGGGG